CCTAATATGGTTGGAATGTAGATGCATAAGAGGAATTTTGCTGTTTAAGAATTTATCGATATAAGACATTCTGTAAAATTTGTACAAAATACACACAGACCCCTTTACCATGTTTTACCACCATAATGTCACAGTGAAGAAACCCTACCACAGATGAGGAGCACTGCTGGGATACTGCCCCTCAGTTAGGGGGACGGTACAAGGCCATGACAAACATTCTAGAGTCAAGTTAAGGGGATAGAGCTGGTCTATAAATTAGAATTGAAGCATAGATCAGAGATGGCTGACAGCACAACCCTCCAGAGTATTCTGACTACCATTTTTTCCCACCGGGCTAACCTGACTCCATGGATGCGAATTATTGATGCTTGCCATGGAATGACAGAGGCATTTAAATACGTTCATATACAGTACCTAATAATATGCTGATATGAACATACCAGCACATATATTTTCTATCCCTTGATAACTGAAAAACAAGTCATTATTCCTTAGGCAGATTTTAACATGAAGCTCACTAAATCTATTTTTAACAAAGTAAATACAGATATACATATGATAAGAAGACACAAAAAACTCATCATGAAATGAATTCTGAGTCAATAGCTAAATACCATCTCTACCAGTGCATCACTACTAGCTAATCCATACTAAAATAAGTATATATTAAAAAAAAAAAACTCTGTGAAATCTGGAGTCAAATCTTTGTCAGAAAAGTAGGACAAATTAATTTGTCAAGGACTCAATACAAGAGCCCATTTTTTGCCTTTTTCTTATTTGTATTTATTATAAAGCACACCTACATGTCTGCTCCCCAATTTGGCACTGAGAGAAGACTTCTATATTTCATGGTACTGAGCAACGCACTCTCAACACATCTGATGCTTACATTTGCAAAGTTCTCAAAATGTTGTGGGGTACCACTGAAAACTCATTACTATTATATTGCAACATTTCTAGGAAGAAATGGAAACTTGAAGCCTATGCCTGTGTTGAAAATAACATTGGCCCCAGATATCCTCAAAGAGGAAAGTCATATATCACTCTCTGCTCATGGATAATGTCAAAAGAAGAATCTGGTTTTCAAGATGTGAGTTATCAACAGTTTAGCTCCAGATTTATAGCGTTAGTCGTACTATTTGCAAGGGAAAACTATTAGGTAAAAAATTTCTCCAAGGGAGAAGATCAAAAACAACCCAAGACCACTTAAAATCTTTAGAGGATTCTTGTGGTTTGTGTTGTAACCATGGATATATATTGTTTTTTTTTTCTTCCAGAGAAATTAAAAAGTGCTATATGGTAGTGTTTGAAAAATCATTAAAACAACAGTAGCTTAATGTAGATCACTCCTATTCTGTTAAAAGCATATGCTCATTGGAAACAATCTATTCCCCCAAAGTATTATTTTACTTTAATATAAGATTCTTTATATTACATTAGTCAGTAAATGGAAATTTGGAATGAAGGAGAAATTCTAGGGAAAAAATAATTCATAAATCTTTTGAAATAAGCTCAAACCTACAACCAGGGAACCACATTGCATTGCCTCCAGGTGTAACACAAATGAGCTTCTGAGCATGTACTGAAGACTGATAACTAGGAGTAAGTGAGGTCTTATCTTCACAATCATCATCTAAGATCCCTCACAATGCAACCAATTATACAGATGTAACATCCAACGGCCTAATATGTTTTGCCACAGGATTCTGTGCAAAGTACACCGTCACACAAGGTGCTCAAAATAGTCACTTCTGCAAAAGACATTAACTGTGCATCAGTCTTTGTTGCTTGTTTCTTCAGCTTTCAGCATGACCTTTAAAGACTTCAAGAGGTAATAAGGACTCAGCAAACAAATCTTCTAACCAATAAATTAATTCACTTGAAAGTCATACTTTTAAAAAAGTCAGTAGTGTGTATGTTGAGGGAAAAACAAGTATGTCCACTTTCAAACCAGTGCATCCATCTGCATGGCTCTCAAAGGCCTACTACTCCACAGTTTTCTTGAGAGAATATTTATTAAACTGTTAAGGCTGCTATTGGTACCATAAATGTACCCTTGATCCAAGAGTTGAAATACACACATGTAATAGATAACTACTTGGCATAACCATCCCCTAGTGATATTTTAAAGCCAATGGTAACAAAGAGAGCTGAGGACTCCCAAGGAAGTAAACCAAGTGGCAGTTTCACACTAAAGATATCTAGAGTCATTGAACATAAATTCAAATTAAGATTCACTCCCATTTAGAGGATACCATGTCCAAATAGGACAAATAAAACAAAAGAAGCAATTGATTGATCTAAAAGACAAAAACAGAAATGGTTCAGAAAGATCAAGCTAATATCCTTAGGAGATTGCAAAGGACAATATCTCACAACATGGAAAACTGGTGAACTTTGTGAGACTAGGATTTACATTTGAGAATTTGTAGTGTATCTAAGAATAGACCAAGCATTTATTTTTAGACATAATCAACTGATTTGAAAATGCAACAAAAAGAAGTAAGAATTATCTTCAAAATTTGGTTAAGATACCTTTTTAAGTACAGTACTAAAACTACCAGAGGTTACACTTTTAAGTATTATATATATTGATATACATTTAAAAATACTGTTTATGAGAAAATTAACCTAAAATATATTTATAGGTAATAAGTTTTTATCTTATAGATTATGTAAACAGAAGCTGTCAAGATGTCTCATTATCTTCTCTCTAATTTATATCTGCTACAAGTTTCTTCTTGCCAGTTACACATTGTCATGCTTTAATTCCTGACTTTAAATTGTTAGCAAAGTAAAATATGACTCTGTAAACATTGTCAGCACCAACATACAGCATGTCGTGTAGGGTAGAATGAAGCAAGATTATATTTAGGTAAAATCAATCTTTTAGTCCCCTGCATTCAAATCCTCAATCTCACTATGTTTCTTTCCTAAGTAAGAAAAAGAGTTACAGGGACCCCTGGGTGGCTCAGTGGTTGAGCGTCTGCCTTTGGCCCAGAGCATGATCCTGGGGTCCCAGGATCCAGTCCCATATCAAGCTCTCTGCATGGAGCCTGTTTCTCCTTCTGCCTGTGTCTCTGCCTCTCTCTCTCTCTCTCTCTCTCTCATAAATAAATAAAATATTTTTAAAACATTTTGTTGTTTTTCTATCATTCAGAACTTAATCATAAAATATGTCAGAAGTGATCCCTCTCCTTATATATTGCAAGATATATATTATGAGAAAACCATTTATAGTTATATTTAGATACTTCAATTAACTCAAAACTTTATTATTTAAAAATATATTCTATAAATGGCCCATGTCTATTTCTACTAGAAAAAATAATGGAAGTTATTTTACCATATTCACAGAGACTGATACAGATTTTGTAGGGCCAGAAATGTATTCAATTTTTTCTGATCTTCTTCAAGAAAGAAACAAAATACAAATTTTCTAATGCAACATTAGGTACAGGACCTTGGAAGGGGCATATCTAAGCGAGGGGCACTGAAGCTACATTCCATCAGCTACTCAGGATATCCACATATGCACAACAGTTATTTTTTAATTTTTCTCTGACTAGGCTGCATAATAAGTTACATCAAAATATCATTACTTCCAGTCACATGCTATCTTTCATTTCTTGCTACTCTGACCTTCAGTATTTTATCTTTTCATAACCTATAACTCAATTATAAGAAATCCACTATAGGGCAAAGATGCCCTCTTTCGTGGTTGGCATTACATTCGTCTACAAATAGAGATAAAATAATGAGTTTCCTGAAGACTGATTACAGTTCATAAAAAAAATATGTTAAGTAATTATACTCAGGTTAACTATCTGTTAATATAGCAACTGGGGACACAATTTTACCAGACACATAAAATTACCCAGAAATGTGTTTCAACGTACATGTTAGAGAAAATGCTATGCATTGCTAATTTAACCTAATAATCTATCCTACTCCTGTGTCAGCAGAGATGGGAAAGATACAGTATAAGCACATATGTATATTTGTGGGTACACAGGCCTAACATTTATGTTGGGTACTGTAGTCTGCCATCTTTTCTAGAACAAATCTTTAATCTCCTGAAGAAAGACAAGAATAGTGTCTACTTCCAGTTGATCTAAACATTTATAACAGTCCAGTTTTCCACAACCAACCAAAGAAAAATCTTGGGAAAATAATCTAACATTTTAAAAAATGAGTCCAAAAATTTACTGAAATATTTATAATTGCATAAGGAGAATCAGTCCATTTTTTAATCAAATTGTTTTAGCTTTGGAAGTCTTTAACTAAATCTGTTTAATCTTCAATTAAATATTTGAGATTCCATGTTACAAAAAAGCAGTACATTTGAAAATAGTATATCAGTCATCTTAAACTGTACTGGCCACTTTTACTTTTTGTGGTATAATAAACTCATAATATGTATATGAACATTTGAATATCCACACTGGTGCAAGTATATTGCATGTAATGGTTTATATATAGTTCTCTACATACATAATTTTAATTATACGAGAAAAAAATTTACTTAGTATAAATAAAACATACATATTACTGTGCAGGGGGGTTTTCAACTAGAATGGTTTGATGCAATACCATCTGAATAAAAATTATGAATATTGATTTACTGATTATAGAAACCCTGCGTCTTTCCGTGATGTATCGTGCAAATAGGTGGAAGTACAACTTAATCTTTATCACTTAAAAAAAATTATTGACCAACTAACTCTCTGTCTGGTTAAAATGGTATTACAGTAGCTTTAGAAATTTAACAATGCAAAAATCCTTTTTGAAAATGATGGAAAAAATAAGTATGTGTTTTAGCTAGCTTTTACAATGTCATATTTAAAAAGAAATTAAAACAAAAAATAAAGAAATAAAATGAGACCTACCTGCCACTGTAGATATAAGCACATTACTCTCAGGAATAATCAAGACCTGTACAAACTTCTCTATAAGATTTTACTTTTTTTTTTCCACTACAAAAAAAAAAAAAAAAAAAAAAAAAACGAAACAAAAACAAAACCCACGAAAAACCTCAAGAAGAGTTAGCTGGTTTATATTACATGGGCTTAGACTGTAGAAAAAAAAAACAACATAAGGACAATCTATTTTTACCTCAGCAACAATAGAGTGGCAAGAGATGTAGACAAATGGATAGAAGAAGCAGAGTCTACAGATCAAATTTGAAAACCGTATGGTAAGAGAAAAAGGAAAGAATTTTTATGAATTCACTTAGAGACCCAAATACTAGGTTTGACTGAAAAAAATGTCAATCTTGGATGCGTATTAAATATTATCAAGATCAAAAACTGAAATTAAAAAAAAACTGAAATTAGTGAATTGGAATTGCCTCAAATTATAAATCATCATTTCTGTTTTGGTCAGTTGTCTATGGACTATCAGCTCTTAATGATTTTAATAAGTAAAATTCCTTAAAAACTTGTTACTTTTAAAATCAGGGGATGAAACAGTCTATTTAATCTTGGAGGTATGTAAATAACAGTTTACACATTCCATCATTATATTACATTCAAAATTCCACAATATTTTCTAAACCTACCATAAAAACATCTGTCTGAATACATATACATACAGTTTCTCCTTTTGATGAATTTGTTATCAGTTATCTCTTTCTCAAGTTGAATGATAATTAAGGTAAGGAAACTACTGACAAAGCTGAGATAAAGAAGTGGAAAATTTTTAGAAATACTCGTTGTAAATCTTATTTAGCAGTGACATTTCTTCCTCAATTTTTTTCTGTAAATATATGCCTTTTCCTAATTAATCTGGACAGTTTCATTTGAAGGGATACTTTAACAGAATATAAAATATATAAAGAAAACATACAAACTATCAAAATTTGTCATGACGTAAAAATAACTTATGATATTAAAAAATTATTCCTGATTACTAACACTGCATATAGATATGATTATAGGATCGGGCATAATATTTTGCGTATTTTCTCTCTTGTTGACTTCTGTCTTATATGAACATTGCAATTTGAAGATTTAAAAATGCATATATTTAGATATATTATCAAGGAGGTAAATTATCTGTAATTGTACTTAAAAGGCTTAATACCAAACTGAAGTATTGTTTTGCTCTTAGAAAGATGATACATCCTTTCCTAGTCAAATGGGCTGCCATGAAAACAAAGTGGCCCATAACCTTGGAGTGAAATGATAATGAGTGAAAAAAATCTTAATGTAATGAATTATCAAGAATTTTTAGACATAATTCCTGGATTTTTCTCATAAACAATAGCCTCTAGAAGCTCTTCTTTAATATATTTCTTAAAATTAGGCCTATCCCTTCTGTCTTTTGTTCAAAATGCTCTAGCTATATGCATTAAAAGATGAGTGACATCTAAGTTGGTATCTAAGGGGAAGCAATGCAATGACAACATAAAATAAATTTCTTTCCCTCCTCAGTCTATAATGGTGACGTATGCTTCCCCCCCACCGAAGAGTAGAAAACACTTTTCACAGTATAGTCATCTACAGCATATAAAAATTGTTTCTATAAAAGCCATATATACAGAAAACATCTCAGTGTTCATGATAAAATGTGTTATAAAGGCCACTAAAGTAATAGTTCATTCTGTAGTCATTTTCTTCCAACTTCATGTAGGTATCAGGGATTCCAAAATCATGTGAACCCATGGAATGCTTGCATATCAGCTTTCAGTAACTACATGGAGTTAGAACTAAAGTTCTTAGAAACCAGCTTGAATACACTAAAAGATATGAATAGCAATAACAGATTCCTTTAGTCCATCACCAAAGTTGCAATCCTCTAGATTTTCATGAAATGAAGATCCACATTTTGTTTTAGCCTTTTGGACAGAAACAAGGCCATGCATAGATCACCAAGATTTCAAATGCATTAATTCATAATTTATCACAATCTTCTTCTGGTACAACTTCCAGTATTATTTGTAATGTTCTGGTTATTTTGTCTACAAAGAAATAAAGAAGAGAAATTAAAAATACATAGCACTCAGGAATGCGGAAAGACAGCAAAATGTGAATTATTTGGAGTTGAATACTGAAAACATACAACTGCCTATTTCATGAGCACTTTCAAGAATTATTTACTTCATTAGAATCCCATCATGCTCAATTAATTTATTTGTCACTTCCGTAACTTCCCATGATGGCTTCTTAGCAAGAACACATTAATATTTTGTATTCAAATAGGAACTTTTATTCAGAAGCCAGGAGGCTGAAAATACTTTGAGGCAATAGAACCAAGATATAAATAAATTTTCAAAAATATACTCCGTATTTGGTTTAAAACTGGTTTGTTGTTTTAGTACCTATGAGATTACAACCAATTCCTCAGAAAAACCAAAAGACTCATACCCTAACATCCTGCTCAAACTTGTAGCATATTTCTGAGTAAAACACATTATGTCCCAGGGCCTTATCATCTCATCTGCAGAACGAGGGACTTGGGAGTCCATCAGCAAGATGGAGGGCTAGGAGGTCCCAACACTTGTCTCACCACAAAAACAACAACAAACAAAACAAAACAAAAACACAAGCAAACAAACAAAAAACCAAGAACAATAAAGAAATAGCTACAAACTGAAGAAAACAGATCAGGGAAATTTCTAAACAACAAAGAAAAGGGAACAAAAATCTAGCAGAGCTAAAAAAAAAAAAAATTGAGGATGCCTACATAGAAACATAAAGAAAGTATTCTGCCTGCATCACCCTATTCCCCCAGTCAGAATCTGGAGGACCCCAGCAAGGCTTGGTGTTGTGGAAGGGTGCAGCTTTAGCTACATAGGCTTCCCACAGTCCTCCTCAATGACTGGTCCCAGCTGATGGGGCACTGAGCACCCCCACTCAACATCTGCTCCCAGAGGCTGGGGCTTGTGCTGAGGTGAGACTTGCCCGTATGGGGCCTTGGGTGTTGATATGCCCCCCCTCAAGGATGGGGCCCCGTGGCACATCACCACACACAAGACTGGAGCTGCCACTGTTCTTAGTCCACTCCAGCCCCAGACTGGGGTTTTGTCCCATAATCGTTGAGGAAACCTCTCCTCCCTTGAGCCCTGCCCTCAGGGTCCCAAGTTACTCTCTGGCTGTCATTTTTGGGGCTATGCTACTGTTGCCGTGAGTCCCCCTCCAACAACCTTCCCAGGTCAAGAATCTGAATGATAATTGCCAAGACAGTCTTTTACTGGCCCTACTCCTACCCCTCAGTTCCAGGCCCTGGCTCTGACTCATCACTGCCAGGGGCAGTGCCACTATCCTAAGTGTCACTCACTTCCTGTTTCCCAAGTCACACCTTGGCTACCATTACTGGGGCTGTGCTGCTGTTGCCCTGAGAACCCCATCCCAGGTCAAGGCTCTGAACTGTCATTGATGAGATGGGCTCTTGCTGCCTTAATCCCTATCCTGTGGGTTCCTGGTCACAGTTCTGACCCATCATTGCTAGGGCACTGCCACTACTATAGGCTCCACCCCTCAGGTTTCAAGTTGGGGCTCTGACCTATCATTGCTGGAAAAAGGCTACTGCTGCCTTTAACTCTACTGCTCAGGTCCTGAGTTGGAGCTCTGAAATGTCATTGCCAGGGCAGGGCTGCCACTGCTCTGTGTCCAGACCCCTACATGTGCCTTTAACAGATCACTACCAGAGTTGTGCTGTTGCCATCTTATGAGTATACTGGTGCCAGAAGTGAGACTTTCACCCACATCCTCAAACTGCTCTACGACAACACTTTGTTATTCCAGAACACTTGCCACTGCTGTATTCCCTCCAACCACCAGGAGTCACAGTGGTGACTCCTTAGCTAGAACTTCCTTCCATGGGGGGAAAAAAAAATCTCAGTAAGGAAATCAGCAGATTTCTCAGCAGAAAAATTGCAGACCAGGAGAGAATGGGATGATATATTCAGAGCGCTCAAAGAAAAAAAAAAAAAAAAACTGCCATCAACCAAGAATATTCTATCCAGAAAAGCTATCATTTGGAAACAAAGGGGACTAAAGACTTTCCCAGACAAACAAAAGCTGAGGGACTTTATAGCCAATAGACCTGCCTACAAGAAATGCTAGAGAATTCTTCAAGATAAAAAAAGTAACATAAAAACAAGTGAAAGCATAAAATTCACTGGTGAAGGCAAATATATAGTCAAATTCAACTCTTATATTGCAATGGTAGTGTGTGAATCACTTTGAAATCTGCCATATGAGTTAAGAGATAAAAGTGGTGAAAGTAGCTATAGGTACAATATTTTGTTAATGGAAATACAATGTAAAAACATGAAAATTGGGACATCAAAATAAATTTTGTGTGTGGGGGCAAGTAAATGAGTAAAACTTTACTATGGAATTGAATTTAAGTTGTTATCAGCTTAGAGATCCCTGGGTGGCGCAGTGGTTTAGCGCCTGCCTTTGGCCCAGGGCGATCCTGGAGACCCGGGATCGAATCCCATGTCAGGCTCTCGGTGCATGGAGTCTGCTTCCCCCTCTGCCTATGTCTCTGTCTCTGTCTCTCTCTGTCTCTCTGTGACTATCATAAATAAATAAAAATTTTTTTTAAAAAGTTGTTATCAGCTTAAAATAGATGGTTATATCTATAAGATGAAAGCCTCATGGTAACCACAGAGTAAAAACCCATAATAGATACATAAATGATAAAGAGAAATGAATAAAAACAACCACTACAAAATATCATCAACTTGTAAAGAAAAAAGGCAACACAGGAAGAAAGAAACAGAGGAACTACAAAATGATCAGAGTGCAATTAACAAAATGCCAATAGCAAGTCTTTATGTATCAATAATTACTGTAAATGTCTTAATTTCTAACTAAAAGATGCAGAGTGACTGAATTGATTTTTTTAAAAGATTCATCTGTACACTGTCTATAAGACACATTTAGCCATTAAGGTCACTCACATGCTGAAAGTGAAGGGATGATAAAAGATAATTCAAGCAAATGGAAACCAAGAGAGAGTAGGGGTAGCTATACTTATATCAGATCCTAAACCAAAAATGGTAAAAAGAAACAAAGAAGTCATTATATAATGATAAAGGGGTCAATTCATCAAAAAGATATAATAATTATAATCATAATCATCTATGTACCCAATACTGGAGCACTTAAGTATATCAAGTAATTATTAACAGATATCAAGAAGAAATAGACAGCAATAGTGGGAAAATTGATGACTCCAGTTTTTTTTTTTAAGATTTTATTCATTTATTCATGAAAGACAATGAGAGAGAGAGAGAGGCAGAGACACAAGCAGAGGGAGAAGCAGGCTCCATGCAGGGAGCCCGATGTGGGACTCTATCCCGAGTCTCCAGGATCGTGCCCTGAGCTGAAGGCAGCACTAAACTGCTGAGCCACCCGGACTGCCCGATGACTCCAGTTTCAATATGGATATATCATCCAGACAGAAAAATCATCAAGGAAATAATGGATTTAAAAGACACTTTAGACTAAACAGACTGAACAGACATAGAACGTTCCATCCAACAACAGCAAAATACACATTCTTTTCAAGCACACACAAAACATTCTCCAGGATGATCACATAATAGGTCACAAAACACGTTAGCAAATTTAAGAGGATTGAAATTGTACCTAGTATCCCTCCAACCACACAGTATGAAGATCAAATCAATAAAGGAAATTGGTTGAATTGATCGAATCAAAAGAAAAGCTAAACAATTCATAAATATGTAGAGATTCCTCTGAACAACCAACAGGTTGAAGAAATCAAAAGGGAAATCAAGAAATATATTCAAATAAAAGAACCCAGAAGGACAACATATCTAAACCTCTGGGATGCCGCTAAAGCAGTTCTAAAAGGGAAGTTTATAGCGAGACAGATCTCAAATAACTTAACTTTATACCTCAAGGAAGTAGACAAAGAAGAACAAAGCCCAAAGTTAGCAGAAAGAAGGAAATAACAAAGATCAGAGCAGAAATAAATAAAATAGAGACAGAAAAACAAAAATATCAATGAAATTAAGAACTGATTCTTTGAAAAGATAAACCTTTATCTAGATTAACTAAGAAGAAGACTCAAAAAATAAAGTCAAAAAGAAAGAAAAGGTGTTTGGGTGGCTCATTCAGTCAAGTATTTGACTCTTGATTTTAGCTCAGGTCATGATCTCAGGGTTCTGAGACTGAGTCCGGCATTGGGCTCCACACCGGGCATGCAGCCTGCTTAAGATTCTCTCTCTCCTTCTCCCTCTGCCCCTCCACCACCCCTTTCTCTCTCTCTCTGTCTCTTTCTTTAAAAAAAAAAAAAAGGAGACATTACAACTGATACAAAGTATTATGAGAGACTTCTATGAACAATTATATGCCAACAAACTGAATAACCTAGAATAAATGGATAAATTCCTATAAAAATATGGTCTCCCAAGATTAAATTAGGAAGAAGGAGAAAATCTAAATAAACCAATATCAAGTAAGGAGATCAAATCAGTAATAAAAAAAAAAAAAAACCTCCCAACACAGAAAAGCCTAGGAATAGATGCTTGCAGTGATAAATTCTGGGAAACCTTCAAAGAAATATCAACACCAGTCCTTCTAACTGTTCTAAAAAATTCTAAAGGAAGGAACATTCCCAAATTCATTTTATGAGGCCAGCATTATGCTGACACCAAAGTCAGACTAAGACATTTTAAGAAAAAAAAATCATAGACCAATATTCCTGATGAATATAGATGCAAAAATTCTCAATAAAATATTAGCCAGTAAATTTCAACAACATAATAAAAAGATAATTTACCTATGGTCAAGCGGGATTTATCTGTGGGATGCAAGGATATATCAAACTCATACTGAAAGTCCTAGCCAGAGTAATTGAGCAAGAAAAATGAAACAAATCATATTCATATCAGAAAGAAGTAAAATTATCTCTCTTCATAGATGGGTGATCTTATACATAGAAAACCCTAAAAAGGGATCCCTGGGTGGCTCAGTGGTT